TAACAGAAGGACTAGGGCTGACATGATAGCCGCGTTCCAATATTTGAGGGGCTGCCACAAAGAAGAGCTCAGCTTGTTTTCCAAAGCACCAGAAGGCAAGACAAAGAGCAATGGATGGAAATTAAACAAGCAGAGAAGCAACCTAGAACTCAGGAAAAATTTCCTGATAGTGAGAGAACCATAAACCGGTGGGCTGGCTTGCCTTCAGATGTTGTGGGTGCTACACTATCGGGGGCTTTTCAAAAGAGACTGGACAGCCATTTGTCTGACATACTGTGGGGCCTCCTGCTTGAGCAGGGGGTTGGACTAAAAGACCCCCAAGGTCCCTTCCAACTCTGTTATTCTGTAAAGTCGGATTGTCAAACTGGGCATTAAACAAGGGCACCCAGAATTGTCCTCAAGGTGAGATTTGACTAGTGCATCATAGAACGGTAACATTGTGCTTCAAAATTCTCGTGTGCTTCAGTCAGGAAGTCTACAACCAGATTTGTGTTTTTAACAGCTTCATCCTATGACTGCCTCTTGTTTTGCAGGTATAAAAAAAACAACCCTTGGCTTCTTTTCCTAGGTGCAACTAGAAGGCACATGTCACCTGTCCTGCATGCGTAGTAAATAACTAGTGCAAAGCTGTAGATTCAATACAAAAGCAAATTTGGTGTGGTGGTTAAAGTGTTTAAAAGCACAGAGCTAAAAGATGAGAAACTGTCAATCTTAGTCCCGATGCAGAAAGACAGCCACCTGGGTGACCTTGGGCCAGTCCCTCGCCCTCAACCCAAGAAACCAGTTTGATCAACGGGTGAAGGTGCTGGACCTTGAACCTGAGTTCTAATCTTGTTTTGGTCATCAAGTCCAGAGGTGGGATTCAGCAGGTTCTGACCAGTTCTGGAGAACCGGCAGTGGAAATTTTGAGTAGTTCAGAGAACCAGCAAATACCACCTCTGACTGGAGATTTTACAGTATCCCTCCCCTGCCACACCCACCAAGCCATGCCCACAGAACCGGTAGGAAAAAAAATTGAATCCCACCACTGATCAAGTCAACTGGCCAGTCCCTCTTTCTCAGTCCAAGGAAGAAGCAAGCAATGAGAAGCCACTTTTGAAAAATGTGGTCAGGAAAACCGCAGGGACTTATCCTGGTGCTCAACCACGAATCAAGATTGAATCAAAATTGATTCAAAGGCAGAAAAAAGAAGTGCATATGTGTTAGTGAAACTTATTTCACTAATAAATAGTGAAATAATAGTTTAAGCCCAGTTTTTCACCCTCTTCAATACAGATTCCTTTTTTGTTGTGGTTGCTGTTAAAGAATGAAAAATGAAACTAGCAGATTTCTTCTTGCTGAAATCATCCATCGCTAGATTGTCTTTACCCAATTGTTGAATATCCAAGATTGAGGAATGGAATATAATCGAAAGTTGCATGACCTTTGGGTTTAAAGTTCAAGTAGTCCTCGACTTACAACAGTTCATTTAGTGGCGATTCGAAGTTACAATGACACTGAAAAAAGTGACATATGATCGTTTTTTCACACTTACAAAGGTTGCAACATCCCCATGGGCATGTGACCAAAATCCAGATGCTTGGCAACTGGTTTGTATTTATGACGGTTGTGGTGTCCCAGGGTCATATGATCCCTTTTTGTGGCCCTCTGATAAGCAAAATGAATGAGGAAGCCAGATTCACTTAACGATCGGGTTGCTATCCTAACAATTGCAATGATTCACTTAACAACTGTGTCAAGAAAGGTCGTAAAAAGGGGCAAAACTCACAACAACATAAATTTTGGGGTCAATTGCCATCATAAGTCAAGGACTACTGTATGCCATTTTCTTGTGTGAAACAATTTACCACACATCTTTTTTGTTGCTTTGCCCCTCATGCTTGCAAAACTAATACTGTGTCACGATGCCAAAAACCTCCATTCCGGTTACACAATCTTTAAAAATAAGCTCAGATTCTGCTAATGGTGGATTGTGTAAAAATAAATGTTTGTTTTTGCAGGTTTTGTTTTTTCTCTCACCTATTCAACGTAAATTGAAACTCTTGATTCATCCAGTAGAGGGTAATAGTTACTCATCTTTTATCACAGGGTAGCCAGCTTGGCTGGGCCATGCATCCTAGGATATTGGTGTCTTTGTTTAAAGCGTTGCAGAATTTTGTCCAAAACAGACATCATCTTAGGTCTCAATTTCAATGGTAGACACCTCTTCACCCCAGTAACAAATCAAGACATGTAAAGAAAGAATGGCAGCTTGAGCAAGGGGTGACAAATTGCATTTGTTTTCCAGAACCTGATTAAGCTTATGCAGGTAAAATAGAAGCCCTGTCAAAATTTGGCCCAATCTCGCCTGCACAAATTCACAACAAGACTGCAGAATTGAGGAGTCCCTGGGACATTGGGATAATAATGGGATAGGCATTACTAAAGGTCTCAACATATAGGTCAAACATGACAAGGGCTCCGAAGGCTAAACCGTAAAATGAACGGTTGTGGGAACTACAGTACATATGTCTGGTCTAACAGAAGGACTAGGGGGTGACATGATAGTCTTCCAGAATTTGAGGGGCTTGTCACAGAGAAAAGTGGGTTGATCTGTTCTCCAAAGCACCTGAAAGCAGGACAAGAAGTAACAGATGGAAACTTATCATGGAGAGATCCAACCTAAAAATAAGGAGAAATTTCCTGACAGTGACAACAATCAATCAGTGGAACAGTTTTCTTCCAGAAATTTTGGGCGCTCAGTCTCTGGAGGTTTTTAAGAAGAGATTGGACAGCCATTTGTCCAGAATGGTATAGGGTCTCCTGCAGTGGTGGGATTAAAAAATTTTTACTACTGATTTTGTGGGCATGGCTTGGTGGGCGTGGCTTGGTGGGCGTGGCAGGGGATGGTTACTGCAAAATCCCCATTCCCTCATCACCCGAATAACCTGCTTTCCAGCTCCATTCTCCTGTGCAGGGCAACCAAAGAAGACCCAGCCAATCAGCTGGGACTCAGGAGGCAGAGAATAGATGGGGGTGGGGCCAGTCAGAGGTGGGATTTGCCAGTTCTGTGAACTACTCAAAATTTCCGTTACCGTTGCTCCAGAACTGGTCAGAACCTGCTGAATACCACCTCTGGTCTCCTGCTATAGAGACCTTTAAGGTCTCTTTCAACCCTGTTATTCTATTATACTGTATATTATTCTACCGTATGCTATTCTGTTTCTTGCCCAACTCTTAACCCATTAACTTTATTCATACAAATACTTTCTCACTGTAGGGTAGTGATGGCAGCATGTCAAAAATTCAGCAAATACTTAACTTGAATATGCAAGTGTGGCACTTTCCCCTCAACAAAAGAGAAACAATTCTTCACATATTCATTTATTTAGAAAATACAATCCAATTATGTGTGGTGTTATGTATTATATAAGGAAATGTCAGATAATTACAAAAATGAAATATAAGTAAAACAAAATCCTTTTTGGAGACTCTGGAGACCCAGGTGAGACCACGGCCTGCTTGTTTTACTTCTGGAGGTCCAGGGTCTGTGTGACAGTATACCCAGGGGTGGGATTCTACCAGTTCGCACCTATTTGCTAGAACCGGTTGTTAACATTCTAAACAGTTCAGAGAACTGGTTGTTAGAAGAAATTACTGGCCTAATCCTGTAAGGAAGGCAGGAAGGAAACATTCTGGTATTGCTTACAGAAACTGCCTCTCCATTAACCCTTATTATATTCTTGGCAGGACTAGATTTCCTTTCTCAGGAACTTCTCTGGAGTTTTTTCCCCCCTCCATTGCTGGTACTTTGCTTGTGTGGAGTGACCATTCAAAGTTACAGTGGCACTGAAAAAAGTGACTTATGACCATTTTTCACACTTATGACTGTTGCAGCATCCCCACAGTCATGAGAGGCAAGGCGAGGAGATGCGTGCCTCAATGTGAGTGATATTTATTCTCTGCCTCCAAGTCCCAGCTGATCAGTTGGGTCTTCTTTGGTTGCCCAGGAGAATGGAGCTGGAAAGCAGTTTAATGGGGAGGGAATGGGATTTTGCAGTAACCTTCCCCTGCCACGCCCACCAAGCCACACCTATCAAGCCATACCATACCCACCAAGCCACGCCTACAAAACCGGTAGTAAATTTTTTTGAATCCCACCACTGTTCCTTTCGAAGAAATCTGTGGTGTTTGTACTTTTTCTGGTCACTAAGAAGATAAAGAATCAATTACAAAAGATCATTTGTTCATAGCTCTGGATGTCCAAGGTGGCATTAGAAGTTAGTGTTTCTACTTAGCCATAAAATCCTTCTTAATATTTGCCTTTCTCCTCTACTCCATGGTATTACCGTAAGAACAATTTCATTCTGATAAATTGGTCCAAACCCTTTGGTGGAAAGGAACAAGAAGACTTTAAAAACTTAATGTGAGCATTCCTTCATAAGCCTAAACCTACTTTCCAGCTGGAGGTCAAGAAGGAACTCTTCCAAAGGGTCTTTGGAACCAATTAGGAAAGCATAATAAGTATTTATATGTTGCTCTGGTTCTAAATTAAAGATATGTGCTGATTACATTGTAATTATTATTATACTATTATGCTGTGGATATTTTATTTTTTTATAAGCCAGTGGCAGTCATGTGGTCTAATACACGGAGAAAGAGGGAGGGGGACAGGTCGCTGGCTAGGGGGTGGAGGAAGTTTTAATATGTAGATACCCATAAATTCTCTGCTCTGCACAAAAGGACTCATGAATTTCTAGTGAAAGAGATCCACTTTCTAAGATTTAATCCTGAAACCATATCTGCCATATGGTTACCATATCTCTATCACACAATCCTATGAGGTAATTTGAGGAGAGGAGAGGGGAGGAAAAGCAGGCCCAAAATCACCTAGAGAATTTTATGTTTAATGCAGAGTTGAACTTGAGTCTTCCCAATTTCAGTTCAATGTCTTAAGCACTGTTTTGTGTAATGTGTGTTAAGAAATGTAATTTATCTAAATGTCCTCTCCTGTCCTTCAGAATCTACAAAGCCCAGTTGTTGATGCAAATATTTCTCAAGAAAACTGGATGACCCAAGAGATCCCTATCACTAAGGAACATCTTCCACAAACTGAAGACAACATCTATGAAATCTCTCTTCCAAAAATGAAGTCCAGCACCAGGGATATCAATACCCCCCAGAACATAGAGCTCAGTTATGAAGATCGACATGAGCACAGTAGTCAAGAAGTGGTCTTACAACAAGAAATGAGACCTGAAGACAAAGAAGGTGAGATTATTGACTTGGGTCAACCTGAGTTGAAGGTTGAAAATGGATGGAAGATGTTAGATCCCACAGAAGATCAATCCCCGTGCATGACCAAATCTATAAGTGGAAAGACAGATCGTTGGACGCCACCCCCAGACAGAGAATCCAAGTTGGAAGTGCTCAGATCTGGCTCACACTACGACATCCGGGCTTATAAAGGAGAGAAGAAACCTTCTAGATTCTATGAAGAAGATGAGGAGGAGTTGCAGTATAAAATTCCCTCCAAGAATGTCTCACCAGAAATAGCCAAAGAACTGGAAGATGAACGGCAGGAGATTATCAGGAGACAAGTTGTGAGAAAAAGCAACACGATGGCAGAAAAATGGAGCTCTATGAATGAGTTGGAAGCCATCGACACGTCCTCTCTTGTCAAGGTTACAAGAGAAGCCAGAAAGATCAACCCCACTAGCTTTGCTCTTTGTTTTGACAATCCTTCCCCAGATTGGACAATCATCCCTGTCGATCCTGAGAACATAGACACAGAACAGATAAATTTTGCTGCTGCCCGACAGCAGTTTCTCACACTGGAAAAGACTAATCCAAAGATGTTGTTGGACCCCAAGAGACACGTTCCTTCTCTGAGGGAGCTGAAGGCAACAAGCCATGCCTGTGGGAGCAAAGAACCTCAGAATCCTGAAATGCCAAGGAGTGATAAAGAATTGGATGAGTACAGCCAATTGAGAGAGAACTCAACAGGAGCAGACCTTCTCATTCTCCCCCAAAGAGAAGCCAGCTCTTATTTAGGGACTACTTTCCTTTCTGCAGAAAAGATGCCCTCTGACTTGGAGGTTGATATGAGCACGGGGAATGGGAATGAGAGGACATTCAAGAAAGAATCAGGAAATCCTCTGGCCCAAAGCCAAGATCCTGCAAAAGAGCCAGAAATTAGGAACGAGACCCCCATTGAGCGGGAAATCAGATTGGCCATGGAGAGGGAAGAGAACCTTTGGAAGGAGAGGGGCGTCCAGCGAATCAGTACCAAAGATGATCTGGTGGAGATCCGATCCAAGCCGCTCCTCTCCTCCCCAGCCTCTTCTCCAGCTTCCTCCAGGAAAGGGAAAGATAAACCTCTCATTTCCTTTTATGTCCAGAGGGAGATTGAGCAGGAAGCCAAGCGTGAGGAGGACCTGCAAAAGGAAGGGAGGCTGCTGGGAATGTACGACCGAGGACTTCGCCAAGAGCTTGCAGAACGTCGGAAAATTTTTGAGCGAGAGGAGGAAGCGGCTCCCCTGCCTTCTCTGTGCAAACAAAAGAAACAAGAGGAGCTGCTGGAGACCCTCCATGGAGACGCTGCAACACTCTGTTGCAATGTGGATCCATCCGGAGAGGGAATTGCAAGCCAGAATGTGAACTGGAGCTCGGAGATCCGTCGGCCCTCTGCAGAGCCAACTTTGGGCAAGAAAAACCCAGGAAATGAGCCACCCTTAAAAACGTGCTCCACTGCTTCTTCCCCAAGGATGAATTTCCCTAGCCGATGTCCTCCCTGTAGCCGAGATTTGAAAGCTCCAAGAGACACATTCGTGTTAAAGAAGCAACATTTGGCCATTCCGGTTCGCAAGCTCCAGTTCTCTTTTTCTGAAGATCAGGGACCCCAAAGCCTTCAGAGAAAAGAGCATAAACCTCAGAAACCAGCTCCACGGGAAGAGCTTTATACTCTGAAGACATGGCGGCCCCGGACGTCCATTCTGATTGACCAGGACATCCAGGATGCTTTGCAAAGAGAAGTGGAACTTCAAGAGCAGAGGAGAAAAATCAGTTTGACTGCACAGGAGCTCCCAAGTTCACGGGTGTCATCTCAAAGTTCAGGTAAGAGAAGCGGAGAATAACAACGAAAGCCTGGTGGGTTCTGAGTTCTGACCCACGGTGTAGCCTAAGTGGAGGAGACACCATAGTGCAGAGGTCTCCAAACTTGGCAACTTTAAGACTTTTGGACTTCAAACTCCCACAAGTCTTCAAGTTGCCAAGTTGCATGCTGTCATGTTTGGAACATGTCTCCTTACAAGCAGGGGATTGTATTGTTCAAGGATGGTTTGTTCCAGTATTAACTGAGTTAATAAGAGTGTAAGTCAGCCTTTGAGATGGTTGATCCAAATTGCAGGAGCTTTCTTCTTTGAGAGATATATTTGGCAGTTCTGTTTTTTGTTTTTTTTTAGCTCTGTCCTAAAATCTTGTTCTGGGTAGAACAGGTAAGCTGCTTTTAATATGATGCTGCTCTTCTTTTAATGGAGTTTTTAAAAACTGGGGCAATATTCTTCAGTCTGTCCTGCATTTTCAGGCCTTTTTCCTCCCTTTAAAACGGGGATCTCCAACCTTGGCAACTTTAAGCCTGTCAGAATTCAACTCCCAGAATTCCCCAGCCAGCAAAGCTGGGAGTTGAAGTCCTCCAGGCTTAAAGAGACCCCTGCTTTAAATTACTGAGATTAATATATCTCACCACTCTTTATTTAGAGCTTGTTTACAGTGATTTTAAATAGTGCAGTCCTCAACTTGCAACCATTTGTTTAGCGACTGTTCAAAGTTACCACAGGAGTGAAAAAAATGACTTACTACAACCGGTCCTCCGCTTGTGACCATGGCAGCATCTCCACGGCCATGTGATCAAAAGTCAGACTCTTGGCAACCAGCATGTATTTAGAAACGTTTGCATTGTCCCAGGGTTATGGGATCACCATTGTGACCTTCCCAGTTGGCTTCCCACAAGCAGAGTCAATGGGAGAGGCCAGTTTCTGAAGGACTGCATGATTCATTTAACAATTGCAATGATTCATGTAACTATGACAAAAAAAAGTTGCAAAATAGTATATGATTCACTTAATAATTGCCCTGCTTCACAATGGAAATTCTGATCTCAGTCGTGGCTGTAAGTCAAGGACTATCTGTGTTGTCCAACTACCATTTCCCCCCCAAAATAAGACCCTGTCCTATATTCTTTTTGTCACCAAAAAAGACACCAGGTCTTATTTTCAGGGGATGTCATCCACTGACTAACCTCACTTGTGCGTGTCGCCCCCGGCCTCTTTTTTGCTGTCGGAGGCCTTCAGGAACTTTTTCTTCTGCGGCCGGCAAGGCTTTCCTAAAGGCCTTTGCAGCTGATAACCAAGCTCTGGATTAATCCAGAGTTCTGTTATCAGCTGCAGAGGCCTTCAGGAAAGTCTTGCCAACCTTGCCGGCTGCAGAAGAAATGGGCCGGCAAGGTAAGTGTTGGGGTGAGCGGGGCCTGGCTACAACTATCCAAAGATAAGTTGTAGGGCAGCTCCACCCCATCCCCACCCTAGTTTAATTTTTACCCATGCACTCTGGAGTGGGTGGGAGTCTTAATTAGAGTTTATTTTGGGGGTAGGGCTTATATTGGGAGCATGTGTGGAAAATCAAGCTAGGACTTACTTTTGGGGTAGGTCATATTTTTGGGGAAACAGGGTATTAGAATAGCAATTAGGAGTTCCCGGACCATTAGTGCTAGCTAGGAATTCTGGGAGTTAGAAGCCAAACGCCTGAGGTATGGATGGCACTTTGTTAGAGAAGGTTGGCCTCTATTTTCAAAGACAACTTAACGTTTCAAAATCATAATTCAAGGTGGACTCAGTCTTCCATCCTTACGAGGTGGGTAAAATGAGGACCCAGATTGTTGGGGGCAATATGCTGACTCTGTAAACTGCTTAGAGAGGGCTGTAAAGCACTGTGAAGTAGAATATAAGTCTAAGTGCTATTGCTATAATCAAAACCACAACAGTCACAATGTACTGTATTTTTCAGACTATAAGATGCTCCGGACTATAAGATGCACATTAGCTTTAGAGGAGGAAAACAAGAAAAAAAAAATCTGCTTCTGCCTCCCAGCCATTTGTCTTCCTGCAGCAAACAGCAAACAGCCTGGTCAGCTTCAGCACAGCCTAATATAGCATGAGCAGCTGATTGGCGGTTGGATCGACCTCCTGGAATACTGCCTATCAGCTGTACCAGGATGCGGGGATCGCTATCACCCCTCACTGCCATCGCTACCCATCGCCACCATCACCTATCACTGCCTCCACACACCCCATTTTTGGTCTCCATTTTGGGCCTCCGTGCGTCCCATTTTCGGCCCATTCCAGGCACTGACTGGAACAGGCCAAAAACGGGATGCACAGAGGCCAAAAATGGGGTGTGGGGAGGCAGCAATAGGCGGCAGCGATGGGCGGCGGCGGCAATGGGCGATGGCGATCCCTGCAGCCTGAAACAGTTGATGGGGAGTATTCCAGGAGGTCGATCCAACCGCCAATCAGTTGCTCACGCTGAGTCAGGCTGTGCTGAAGCTGACCAGGCTGTTTGCTGCTTGCTGCAAGGAGGCAAATTTCTGGGAGGCAGAGGCCAGCAGGTGGGGATGGCATATGGGCGGGGCTTCCGCAACATTCACTCTATAAGATGCACAGACATTTCCACCCAATTTTGGCGGCGCAGGGGGAGAGTGTGTCTTATAGACCAAAAAAATACGGTAATTGGTGAAATGATAGATAACCGAGCCTTGCTACCAGGGAAGACTGTTTCCTAGCTCTTTCTGTAAAAATAGGCTGTTGGAAAAGGTGGCCCATAAATACCCAAAGAAATTCGTTGGTGATGTCATCTTCATTTCAATACAGCAATTCCTCGGGTTAAGAATGTTTCGGTTTAAGGACAACCCTCAGTGAAGGATGGAATCTATTGTAGCAGAAGTACCCCCAACTTTGACACTCTTTCACAAGGCCCTGAAAACCTGGTTTTGCAAACAGACTTGAAGAATCCGAAGTGGGATGGAGCCCATCAAAGTGGCTTGTTTGATTGACTATTGTCTCCATGGGGATAGGGGATATTGGTTTTTTTATTGTTTGTATATTGGTTTTTATTTATCTGAGCTGCCCAGAGTCATTGAGAGTGAGTGGGCAATCATGCAAATTTTCTTAAATAAGTAAATAATAAAAATTCGAGTTAAATACACAATGATTCAGGTTCATTACACAATACTACTTATGCAAGTACAGTATTGCACAATAATGGTGTTCGGGTTTATATACTTATTTGACTCAAGGACAGGCTTAAACTTGGGGCTATCTATCAAAAAATCATATAGCCAAGGATTAGGAACAGAATTAGAGGAGAATAGAGGCCACAGTGCTCCCAATTTGATATAAAAAAATGTACCATGGATGGAAAAGGTAAATCTTCTAAGCTTAAAGTAGGAGTGTTAAGAGTTTGCAGCATAAATTCACATCCAGAAAACACACAGGCTGATTCAGCAGGATCATTAACTTCTTTATAAACATATTAATGTGAATAGAGTTTACAATACAATTTGTAGATTCTTTCAAAGTAACATAAGCAAAAACACAAGCAACAGCTCAGAGGGCTCAGCACAGAACTCAGTTTCAGCAATCAAGTAAGTTCTCAGCAAAGCACACAGTGCCAAACCACACCCAGGCTGTCAGCTCCCATCGGCTGGTCTGTTGCCATGCTTACTTTGTTAACCGTGTCTCTGCCAGTTAATGAATATACTCTGACAAGGAGTAGGAAAAATGAAATCCCAGCAATGGTCACTTGCAGGTCTGTGACCCAGAACTATATTTATTTCATATCCAAAGGACTTCCATCACTGCATATTTATTATTCTGGGAGGCTTAAAAGGGTTAAGCTGGAAGCAAACTGGACATGGTGTCAATCACCCGCAGGTCGTTAACAGAACAACAGCGTGGGAAGGGACCTCGGTTTTTCGACTTACAATCACAATTGGGACCATAATGTCTATTGCTAAGCAAGGCCTGGTCAGCTTCAGTGAGTTACGCCCATTTTATAACTTTTCCCTCCCACAGTTGTGAAGCAAATCACTGCCGTTGTTCAATGAATCATGTGGTCATTAAGCAAATCTGGCTTCCCCTATTGACTTTGGTTTTTGGAAGCCAGCTGGGAAAGTCTCAAATGACGATCACGTGACAGTTATATATTTATGAAAAGCAAACCACCTAAGTTCATGCTAAGTTCAAGTGCCCAAATTTTGATCGCATGACTGGAGGATGCTGCAATGGTTATGTGCGTGGACCAGTTGTAAGTTGCTTTTTTCAGCCCTTTTGTAACTTCGAACGATCGTTAAACAAATGGTTGTAAGTCGAGGACTATCTACAGTCAGCCGTTATGTAATGTAGCCAATGGAATTTGTTTGCAAAGCGAAACATCAACTGAGTGGCCTGAATGGAGTTCAGATTTGGACAGAGCTTTTGCAAAAAAACAAAAATTCTTCTCCACTCAGTTCAGAACAGCCACGAATGGGATCTGCCCTCATATTTTTTGCATATCTACTGTTACTTTAAAACTAATTCACACAGAACTGCCAGTTGCATGCAAAACATCATGTCCAATTGCCCATCAGAGGACAACAAATGATAATGAGAAAGCTCTGAGTTCGAATTTCACTCCAACACAAGCTCTTCTCTTCTTTTAACTTGACTGGGTTTAGCAAGATCATGGTGAAGAAACAGCTTGTTTGGACCTTAACACTCTATATTTTTCCTCCTCAGCTGCTTCGGGAGAAACTGGCAGGTACTCCATCTCCTCCTCGCCTGTTTTTGTTCCTAATTCACCTGTGAGGCTCCCTACTTCGCCCATCCTGTACCGACCCAGTATGACAACAAACTCCCCTGAATCAAATTTCAGACGGTGCCAGAGTCCAATACAATCCAGGATAAGACCAAAGGAGGATGGGAAGGTAATGAGCAGGAAAGGATTGGAATTAATGGAGGGTGGCCCTAGACAGGAAAAAGAGATTCTAGCCGTAACAGTTGGTCAGGATGACCACATGAATCCTCCAGGATCAGAGATAGCTTATTTCAAAACACTCCTGGCCAAGGATCAACAGAAGCACCTTAAAGATCAGAAGGATGTTTTTGACTGCTCTTAGAATCAGCAGGATGTCAGGATTCCCGCAGTTACACCAATTAAATCATTAGTCTGGAGCCAAACTCCCAAAACTTCAAAGGATATATTGGAAGTCAACATGTCGGCATGACTTGGGCGTAGCCCTCTATACTCGTTTTATAGTTGCCACAAGAATGATGGATAAGCCAGGCTCATCTGTGATCAGAATTCCAATAGAAGAGAATATCTTAGAACATAGAATAAGAGAATTGGAAGGGACCTCGGAGAGCTTCAGGGGTGTCAAACTCAAGGCCCAGGGGCGGATCTGGCCTGGGTGTGTGTGTGCTTAGATCTGGCCCACGGGGTGGCCCTGGAAACAGTGAAGGACTGGCCCACGGTGCCTCCAGCAGTGAAAACGGAGCTCTGTTTTCACTGGCAGAGGGCTGCAGGAGGCTGTCATGGCTTAAAACGGAGCTCAGGAGCCTGTTTTTGCTGGCAGAGCGCTCGGGCCACCACAGGTGCCCCCGACACAGGTGATGTCAAGCTGGCCATGCCCAACCTGGCCCTGAGGTCAAACACAACCTTGATGTGGCCCTCAATGAAGCTGAGTTTGACACCCCTGTTCTAGTCCAACCCCCTGCTCAAGCAGAAGACCCTATAATATATCATTTCAGGAAAATTGTTGTTTTTGAAAGACTTCATTGATGGAGCACCCACAACCTCTGAAGTCAAGCTATTCCATTGGTTACTTGCTGTCACTGTCAGGTAATTTCTCCTTAGTTCTAGGTTGTTTCTCTCCTTGGTTAGTTTCCAACCATTGTTTCTTATCTTGTCTTCTGGTGCTTTGGAAAATAGTTTGACCCCCTCATCTTTGTAGGAGCCCCTGAAATATTGGAACAGTGCTATCTCTGTATATCTGTGTGTGTGTTAAATTCTTGGTGCTCTCTGAGCATGGTTATTTCCTTGCAGATGTTTCATTACCCATCTAGGTAACATCATCAGTGCTAGCGAGTGTGGGATTTGCTCCCTTTTATATGCAGTAGTTTGCCCACCCACTGTTGGGGGTACATAATTTTCTCCTTGGTAGTTCCTTGATTAGGGTATTATTTTGTCCATAACTAAAGAGAGGTCAGAATCTGTGTTTCTACAAGGTCAGCCTGACATTGTAATTATTCACAACGTGATTTGCTTCAGAAACATCCTAATGAAATACAAGTTTCTGAATGTAAATATGGACTGGTGCTCTTTGCATGTTCAGTTCATATAAGGAACTGCAAGAATGGATGTAATACTCTATGTAAAGCAAGATCAGGAAAAAAAAAATCAAGCTGGGGGTAGAACATTCTCTTTACACCCTGCCTAAAAACCACAGAGGGTGTGGTCATAAAACGTGATGAACCTCTTTATGACAGTCATTATTTATGACCGTAATTGCCAGACTCAGTTACAGTTCTACATCAGAGACTATCTGTATGCCATGCTTGGTTGCAAAAAGCCTGCCAGTCAGGAACTGCAGTAGGTTCGTTTTAGCCTAAAAAATATTGGCGGACAGTCAACCTCCCCCAGTTTGCAAACTATGGTTTTAATTCCTGCCTTCTTACTTGTCTAACTCCTATTTTCCCTATTTTTCAGTATGCTGGTATTGAACTCAACGATGAGATTGACACTGAGGTAACTTTCTGGAAAGAAGTATATCTTGGCACTGCTTTGGGATAATAGGGAAAAGATATTAGTTTGAGGGGCTTTTCCCCTGGCATCTAACCACCTTCTCTGGTCACCTTTTTTACCTACTGTTTCCCTTGACAAGGCCTTCATCTCAACCCCAGGCCCATACCGCAGACAGACTGAAGTTATTCTTAGCTATCTTAGCATTACGGTAGTATTTTCTCTTTAAGCAACCAATAAATTGCAGCAGTTTTACCATGGGTAAAAATCAGATATTCTTCACTGACTATCCGTAGTTTTATTTATTTTATTTATCTATCAAATTTATTGACTGCCATCTTACCACAGGGTAACTCTGGGTGGTTCACAGTATTAAAAAGATGAAATTTTACAAAACCTATACATAAATGCAAACTAAATAATCAAAACAAATAAATAGTCAACAAATGAAGGCGAATATATGTGTCCCAGGATAATGCAGCAGGATCCAATTTGGGTCCGTTTCTGGGACCAGAGGCTTTTGTCTTCTGAGCTGTGTGTATTCTGTATGTATTTTCACACACAGAACAACACACACACACTGCTAGAGAGAAGTTCCCTGAAGATGGGAAGTCTGAAAGCTCGGAATACAAAACCTCTGGTCTTGGTGACTGACCCAGATTGGATCCTGCATAAATATTCAGCCCCAACTAAAAGATGAAGGGGGAGGGAGTAGGACGACTAGATGGGAAGGTGGAATCTGTTATTAATCGGTCAACCACTTCTAATATGAAACCCTCCCCATTAGAGCCACAAACTCAGAGGTGGTATTCAGCAGATTCTGACCAGTTCTGGAGAACCAGTAGTGAAAATTTTGAGTAGTTCGGAGAACTGGCAAATACCACCTCTGACTGGCCCTGCCCCCATCTATTCTCTGCCCCCCAAGTCCCAGCTGATTGGCTGGGTCTTCTTTTATTGCCCTCTACAGGAAAATGGAGCTGGAAAGCAGGTTAGTGGGATGGGGATGGGGATTTTGCAGTATCCTTCCCCTGCCACACCTACCAAGCCACCAAATCACACCATGCCCACCAAGCCAGAATCGGTAGTAAAAAAAATTGAATCCTACCACTGTAAACCAGCTGGTAGAGCCGAATCTTTAAAATAGAATTCTTTATTGGACAAGTGTGATTAGACACACAAAGAATTTGTTTCCTGTGCGTAGCGTCTCAATGTACATACAATGATAGTGATAGAAATTAAACTTAATTTAAACTCATTAGTTCAACTATTTAGATTGATCCAGCTTGGAAAGAGCTTGGCAATTGACTTGACTCCCCTCCTGTACCCTGTTCTGTCTCCCAAGGCTGGAAGAGGTGGCATCTGAAGAGAATTGAATTCTTACAACTCTTCCCATAAATTTACTTTCTGAAAATCTTTGCCCATCACACAAAGTCTCCAGAGTCATATCCAATCTATCCAATCTTTGATTCTAAGCTGAGCTCCGCCCCAGTGACTAAGTGGGCACACCATATAATTTTACTGGCGAAGGCATAGAAGCGGCTGCTTCTTGTTTTGTTCTGGAGTGGTTTTTGACTCAGTTTGTATCCCTGAGATGACGTGATGATCTCCCAGCCACTTACTGAGCAGATCCAGTCCAGCTTGGCTTTTCTGGGGAGTTAATCAAGGTCTTAACATGCTGTTACACATATGGGCCTAATGGTGGATCTTAAATACTGTACCTGGGTATGGCTAAACTGTGAGTTAGCTCTCTGTCTCTCTCTCTCTCTGTGTATATCTATGGAAAGGCTGAGACAGAAGTGTTGTTCTTCCTATCTGATGGAGGCTTTGCTTTATCACAGGTTGTGAAATCCATCAAACCGATCTGCCGGAGGAGCGCCCTGGCTCAACTTTGGGAAACGGGGCAGATCCGGAACATAGACGATGACAGTGACTGATGAAACCATCCCCCTTTGTGTTATGCAATTCAAGCAAGGAATCAGATCTGTCAAAATAACTACGGGCATGCTGCCAGCAGAGCCTTCTTCTGCATTTTACACATTGAAAACTTCCCTCCCCCTCTCTTTTAATTTAATTCAGTGATCAAATCTTTCTGACTGACCTACATTCAATCACAGAACTGTCTCTTCAATTATAAGAAGTTGCCCATGGCACAGTAGGATCTGATCTTGCCAACAGTTTCTGGGGTATCCATTTCTATCTCAAGCCTGCTACCAGATGTGGCACTTGCCTGTCATTTTCTGAAGACTCAGATTGCCTGAAATCCAGAGAAAAGCTTTGCAAAATCAGAGAATATGACTGCCAAGCAATATTTTAACCTCTGTACTTTTCAGTGAAGCACTGACTGGGGAAAAATAAAGAAGAACAGAAACAAACCAACCAACAGACAGAAATACGGCATTGAAATGAATTTCTCATCTTCCGGTGCATGGACTTCCTCATCTCTTCAATTTTAACTTCTTGGGAATATCTCAAAAGGTGGACATTGGGCAAATAGATTGCATCTCTGTGTTTTCTGTTTTTATGTGTATTGTGTCTTGATTTATTGAGAGCACTAAAACTCCCCACTGGAAAGACCACATCGACTGGGAATTCTGGAAGTTACCTTGCTAATGCATCCAGAAGGTACAAAGTTAAGGAAGACTAGTTTACAGGCAGGCAAGTGTATGCTAGATTAACTTTGCTCTGCTTTACCAGTCATGCCCTCTTAATTTATGGTTCAGTGTATTGTGCAACCCTCCAAAAATGGATTAAGCAGGTAACATGAACACAGGATCGTACAAAGCTGTGTGCATTAGCAGTAGCAGCAACCGAAAATTTCCAAGGGAATCCTTGTTTCTTTGCAAGGAAATATACAGCCATGGATCTCCTGCATTTTGTATATTATTATAGTGCTTCCCAATCAAGAGTGCCTAACCTTTTCTATCTAAAGACATTCTGCAGCTATTCCCATTCTGTCAACAGATTTTCTGGCTTAAGAAAAATGACCGAAAAGCTAGAAAGATTATAAACAAAGATGACTTTGCTTACTTTTGCAATAATCTTGTCTCCATTATGGCTTTATGAGAGAGCAAGGGCATTCCCCCCCCCCCCCATTTGTCATCCTTTTCACGTGGCTTCTTCCATCTCTTTTTCTGCCTCATGAACAAAATATTAATGTGGGGAAAATGGGATTGTAGTAAAAGGGAAGTCAATGAAATTGGGATACTTAGGTTAAACAGATTTGCATTAAGTTGTTCGTCCAGGAAGAACTTAACATTCTCCCAAATGCATAAAAGTACAGAAAAACTATCTGTGTACTTTTGTGAGACCAACTTCATTTCCTTTCTTCTTTCCTTGGATTTATCCACCAAAATGGCCGTCTTTGTTCATCTTACAGAGTTATAAGTACACCCAGCTAGCGTTGATTTCACTCTGAAATCTTAGGTGGTCGTTAGTCGAAAACAAATTATAAATCACTGAATTAATGATCCCCCTTTTAAAAAAAACCAAACAAATAAATTAAGTATCTTGGAGACTGGACTCTTAACCTTAACGCCTCTCTTCTAGCACATGCCCTTTCCCCCCAACCAAAATAAAATATCAGCCTGCTACAGCTTTCCACTATCCTTAGTATTATTGTTTCTTCAGTAGATGTTTGAGGCTGAAGGATCAAGAGAAGTTGTTAGAACATGGAGGAAAGGTAAACAAAGTGTGTGAGAGGAGTACATTCATGGCAAAACATACTATCTGATGCTTTAAGGAAGGATGTTTCAAACAATTTCCAAGGAACTGTTGATTAGATTTCATAAGTGAATACAGGGGAAAAGGGAAAAGTTCACTTGAATGTAACCTGGTGTAATGGAATGTGCGCATGACCTTGGGGAAGGTGGTGTTGCCTTGAAAACCATCAGACGAGAGGCAGGAGCCCCCAGTGGCTTAATAGGCAGAGTGTCAGTGTTCCAACTAACCAACTCCAAACCATTAAACTCCAAGACAAATAATTCCTCAAAGTCCCATTTTATTAGAGTTGTCATATTAACACATCTGGGGAAACCCAAATCTAAGAGTTCCAGGTTTTCCCTTCCCAAAAGAAAATCAAAGATCCATCCCCTGCATCCATCAGTCCATCACATGGCCCAATCAAATCTTCGTCCCAACTGGAGACATCTTCCCAGTCACTCCCCTCCAGGTGCAGGCAACGTGTCCTTGACTCTCTGAGAAAGAATGTTGTTGTGTCTACTCTTCTACCCCACTATGAAATTCCCCCCTCCCAAACTCCCAGGCACTGAATGTGACAGCCTTGAAGCTTCCAATTTAAAAAATGGCTTTTGTTGAGGTAATTCCCCGTTAGGAGAATGAGCGCATACAGGGAGACGTATTTGAGAGTAGTGTTTGAATAATACACATACAGCACACAGATACACTGTACAATAAATGTAGGTTTTTACTTCCAGAAAGGTTTAAGCAAAGTCCAAAATAAGCAATCCAAAGTCATTCACAGGTAAAATCAGTCAGTTTTCATCCAGGGGTAATCCAGTAACAAAGTCCAGTGTCAAAAAAAGTTCAATATCAGACTTACATCAAATCCAGTAATATCAGTCAATTAGAAGAAATGGAAGAACGGCAATACTTTCCAACAGAAGGAAACAGAGATACTCACTCAGACACACTCTCTTCTGAGACTAAGACTAAGACTAAAACAACCCAGGTTTCTGGCTCCATCTTATGGCCATTTGAGTAATCACACCCAATTGCAGTTTTTAGCATGCTCTTAAAGAGACAGTATTAAAATGTCTATCCTGGTTTATATATTTCTAACCCAAATACCTGTTAGGTGACTTATATTCCTAATATTCTCCCCTTTTGGGTAAGACAATATATACAACCTTACATTCTAAGTCCATAATCTTCACAGAAGCCTTATGCTTTATAGAGCCTTGGGCCTTTGTAAAATGATCTGCTATATTGTTTTCTGACATAGTATTCCAGCTTAATCATCTTACTTTGCACACATTGTCTCACATTTAAATATCTTACATCTGTGTGTTTCGTTCTTGTTTTAACAGCAATATTTGAAGCCATCTGCCTTGCTGATTGGTTATCTTCGTAAACAACAATAGGATCTGTTATATTAATTCCCATATCAATTAATAATTGTTTATACAAAACTAAATCTGTACGTAATAAAGACAAACATGAGAATTCAGCCTCCATTGTTGACAAACTTAGATGTTTCTGTCTAATAGATCTCCATCCAATCAATGCTTTTCCCAATAATACAGCAGTACCCGATGTAGATTTTCGTGTATTTATGTCTGTAGCAAAACTTGCATCAGCATATGCAGTCAAATTCAGTTCATCTTTTGGCTCCAAATACAATGCATAATGCATTGTTTGTTTCAGATATCTTAACACACATTTAGCAGCTTGCCAGTGCCTTTCAGTTGACTCAGTGTTAAATCTCGCTAATTGATTAACACTGTATGCAATATCTGGCCTTGACTGAGATAAGATAAACTACCAATCAAAGACTGATAAATGTTCTTATCAAAAACAGGACTTTGAACATCACTATGGCTAAACTCCTGGCTCATTGGTGTTTTAGCCGGTTTACAAAGTTCCATTTTATAACTTTTTAGTAATTGGTTAATTTTATTTGCCTGTGAGATCTTGTATCCTCCCCTAGTTCTATCTATCTTTAAACCAAGATATTGTTTGATTTCTCCTAACTGTTTTATCTTAAATTTATTTTCCAATAGTGAAATTATCTCAGTAGCTTCTTGTTCAGTTTTGGTGATTAATGCTATGTCATCAGTAAATAATAACAATAATGAAATTACACCATTGCTTTCTCTTTTAAACAAACATGGATCAGCCATGCCAGCTACAAAACCTATCTTAGTTAATTCTTTAACTATACATTGGTTCCACTCATATCCTGATTGCTTCAAACCATAAAGACTCTTTTTCAATTTCCAGCAATCGTTATTATCAGTATTATCATTTTTGAGACCTAAAGGTTTCTTTAAATATATAGTGTGTTGCAACGGTGCATGCAGATATGCCGTTTCTACTTCTAAATGATTTACAATGTATTTCTCCTTAGCTGCCCACACTAATGCCGCTCTTAATGTAGTAGCCTTCAGACTAGGTGCAAACACCTCATCATAGTCATTTGCTGTCTGATTGAACCCTTGTGCTACTAACCTGGCTTTATGGGTAACAGTCCCATCTACACCTGTCTTTAGCTTATATATCCATTTACATCCTATGGCATATTTACCTGGTGGTAACTTAACATTTTTGTATACCTCCAGTCTTTTTAATGATTCCAGTTCCTTATCCATTGCTTTCTGCCAAGCAGCCTGATCCTTAGCAGGATACAGTTTTAGTTCACTATAATTACTTGGAACTGTATTCACTTGGCATACAACACTAGCCTGATATCTATCAGGTGGTCGTGTTACTCGGGTTGAACATCTTGGTAATACAGGGCTTACTGGTGGACTTTCCTGTGCCACCTGCTCCTGTTCTTCTATTTCTTCCTGTCCCTGTTCTCCTACTTCCTCCTGTGCTTCCTCTTCCTCTTTAATGGCTATTTGTGGTTTACTGATTTTATCTTTAGGGACTATTTGGGTGTCAATAATAATATCATTGCTGGATTCCTGTTCCAGTTTATCCCATCCAACGTGCTCAAGAAATTTTGCACTAGCACTACAATAAACATGAGCTGTGCCTTGATCCCAAAATCTAAATGATCTATGGTTGGCCTCATAACCCACAAAAAATTTGGCTTTCTGCCATGCCAACGAGTGAATGGCAATTCACCAGTTGTTGTATTAACTACATTGTTTAAAACATGGTTACTACACATTATGGCTTCACCCCACAGTGTTTCAGGTAAACCTGAATCAGATAACATAGTGCGAGCCATGGCTTGTAATGTTTGCCCTCTTCATTCTATAAATGAGTTATGTTGTGGTCTGTAAGGTGCAGAATGTTTATGCTCAACACCAGCCAATTTTAACATATTTTGGAATCTTTTGTTAACAAATTCAGTCCCATTATCAGTTACTAAAGTAATTACTTTGCTTTTCATTTTTCTCTCAGCAAACCTTAGCCAGTTAAAGAAATGTTGGAATGTTTCTGTTTTATTTTTCATAAGATAGCAGAAACCGTATTGTGAGTAATGGTGTATAATACTCAAAATATAACAGGCACCTCCTAAACTTGGTTTCTTAGGACCAATTATGTCAGCAAAAACAACCTCTAAAGCTTCTTTGGTCTTAAACCCATTTAGTCTGTTTGCAGGAGTAACCTTACTCTTTTCTTGACTACAAGCATTACAGTGTAAATACTTGCTACAGGGTTTCAATTTTACTCCCTCTGACAATTCAACAGTTTGTTTGAGCATTTTGAAATTAATGTGCCCTAGACGTCTATGCAGTAAATGTATACATTCATCATGTGGCTTAACATTGTTATAAACTGAGTTAGCCATCTGCAACTGGTCAACATGTATCGCATATAAATCATTCTCTAATGTAGCAGTAACACTTTTACCCTCTTTCTCTATTATACAGTTATCTCCCCTACAGGTTACTACATAACCAATATTAACTAAAGCCCTTACTGATAGCAAATTAAATTTCAGTTTAGGTACATATAACATAGTTAAATGTTCGTTTATACAAGAACAATATGCAGTACCTTCACCTGATGCTTTAATCTTCCATCCATTTGCCAGTGATACATGTTGTTTACTCGTGGACATCTTTACAAACCTTTTTCTATCTTTAGTAATGCATTGCGATGCTCCACTATCAACAACCCACAAATCATTGTTTACAGGTGAATTGCTAGACATAGCTACACTAACATTCTTCTTAGCCTTCTGGTGTTTGCCAGTATTCTGTTGTTTTCTCTTCTTACAGAATTTAGCTATATGTCCCCTAGCCCCACAAGAAAAACATTTCCTAACAGTATAGGCAGTTGAAGATAAATCCTCTTCTTGTGGTTGTTCCTTCCTCAGTTGGTCCCTATCCAGCTGTCTTCTTGCTTCTTCTAACAATCTTCCAGTTATGTCAGTCAATGTCAGTTTATCTCTGGGCAGGACTTCCAGTGAAGA